CTGGACGTATCCTTCAGGGTCATTGAGGGGGTCAGATGGCATTTTACTCTTTCACGTCTCTCTTCACTGACAGTGAAGCCATGATGTGGGTTAATCCTGCTGTGTGTAAGAAATGTGTCCCAGCTACTGTCTTCCATGCCTCAGAGCTCCTAGACATAGAACAGAATCTTGTTTCCAAGTGGGTTTAGAGTCAGAGGAAGAACAATAGTGATTGCTGGAAAGGTGCTTCAACTCAGATTAGTGTACAAAGAACAAAGAAAATTACAGCACAGGAACAGGCCCTTTGGCCCTCCAAGCCTGCGCTGATTCAGATCCTCTATCTAAACCGGTCACCTATTTTCCAAGGATCTGTATCCCTCTGCTCCCTGCCCATTCATGTATCTGTCTAGATACATCTTAAATGACGTTATCGTGCCCGCCTCTACCACCTCCGCTGGCAACGCATTCCAGGCACCCACCAGCCTCTGCGTAAAGAACTTCCCACGCATATCTCCCTTAAACTTTTCCCCTCTCAACTTGAAATCATGACCCCTAGTAATTGAGTCCCTCACTCTGGGAAAAAGCTTCTTGCTATCCACCCTGTCTATACCTCCCATGATTTTGTAGACCTCAATCAGGTCCCCCCCTCAACCTCTGTCTTTCTACTGTGAATAATCCTAATCTACTCAACCTCTCTTCATACAATGGACCTGAACACCCAGATCTCTGTGCGTTAATTTTCCCCAGGGCTTTTCCATTTACCGTATAGCTCGCTCTTGAATTGGATCTCCAAAATGCCTCACCTCGCATTTGCCTGGATTGAACCCCATCTGCCATTTCTCCACCCAACTCTCCAATCTATCTATCTATATTCTGCTGCATTCTCCGACAGTCCCCTTCACTGTCTGCTACTCCATTAGTGTCATCTGCAAACTTGCTAATCAGACCATCTGTACCTTCCTCCAGATCATTTATGTACATCACAAACAACAGTGGTCCCAACACGGATCTCTGTGGAACACTACTGGTCACAGTTCTCCATTTTGAGAAACTCCCTTCCCCTACAACACTGTCTCCCGTTGACCAGCCAGTTCTCTATCCATCTGGCTAGTACACCCTGGACCCCATGCAACTTTACTTTCCCCATCAGCCGACCATGGGGAACCTTATCAAACGCCTTACTGAAGTCCATGTATATGACATCTACAGCCCTTCCCTCATCTATCAACTTTGTCACTTCCTCAAAGAATTCTATCTGGGATAGATCCCATCCGGACCTGGGGACTTGTCCACCCTAATGCCTTTTAGAATACCCAACACTTCCCCCCCTCCTTATGCCGACTTGACCTAGAGTAATCAAACATCTATCCCTCACCTCAACATCCATCACATGTAAATCTATGATCTGTTCCTGACTGGAAGTGAACCGTTAGGTTTAGGTTTCCTCTGCATTGGTAAAGATAAAACAGTATTTGGTAAACGTGCAACATAGAGATCAGAAGCACATGAGCAGTGGGAGCAGGGTACGTGTAGCCTGTCTCTGCCTCTGGTGAAACCACACAGGATGCACCAAGGTGAAGTGAGAGAAGGGTCTCTGTTAGAAATTATACCTCACCTACAGTGAGCATATGGGGAGGGTTGACAAAATGTTAATTTTCATTTTCAATAACCACATGTAACATATATTGGTCAGGAAGGGGTGTAATAGGAGTTAGTGCCGGTGGCGGGAAGGGGTTTTTTCTTAAGGAGTCTCATCTGAGACTTTCACTTTCTAATGCTGTGTAACCTGCTGCGACTTCTCCAGGATGTGTCTTTTATTCTCATTTTGAGATCATTTCCTAACGTACCCACCTTCCATTCACTTGTCCTCTCCAGAGGTTACTGTCAGTAACTAACCATTCGCTTTGTGGACAGTTTGATTTGACGGTATTTGCTTTTTAGTTCAAAAGCCTTACAAAAGGCTTGACACCATCCAACACAAAACAGCTCTTTTGATTCACACCCCAACCATCTCATTGTACACTGACTCCCTTCACCATTGATGCAGTGGCAGTAGTGTGTACCAGCTACAAGGTGCGATTCAATGACTCAGCAAGGTACCTTCAACAGCATCTTCTGAAACTTTACCATCTGGAAGGGTAAGACCAGCAGTCACATGGGAATCCCACCACCTGCTAAATCCCCTCCAGGCCACATACCACGTATCATGTTCCTTGGTCAAAAATCCCGGAATTCCCTCCCTAACGGCACCGTCGGTGGACCGCAGCAGTTCGTGAAGGCAGCTCACTATCACATTCAGAGATAGTAAGAACTGCCGATGGAGTCAGAGATAACACAGCAGGCCAGGCAACATCAGAGGAGCAGGAAAGCTGATGTTTTGGGTGGGACCCTTCTTCAGAAATTCAGAGCATCGCTGAAGAAGGGTCTCGACCTGAAACGTCAGCTTTCCTGCTCCTCTGATGCTGCCTGGCCTGCTGTGTTCCTCCAGCTCCGCACTGTTTTATCACCCCCACCTTCTCCAGGCAAGTTAGATATGGCAATAAATGCTGGCCATACCAATGCTGCCTATGACTCATAAGCAAATAAACTAATTGTGGTATTTAAGGTAACATCCGCTAATTAGCAAGAAAACTGAAATAAGATATTTACTTGCTTGAGGGGGTGTCATTTTTTTCTCTCTCACACACACACCCCTCTCTCAATTGCACTTTGCTATTTTTCATTTCTGTTCTGGCCACTGCTGGGGTCACAATGACTCTATCTGTCCTCCTGAGGAGTGCCAAGAGTCATAAATTACTCTTCCACAGATACAGGAACTTCAAGCAACAGGTCAAACATGGATGTAAAAGATTCTCCATCCTTTTTATTTACCTGTGTCCAACCCGTGGACAGTTCCTAATTTTCCCGATCTAAGGTTTAAGGTCTTCCAAATGAACCTTGCTGGCTTTCTGACCATTTCCCGTAGTTTGAATTCGCTCTTGATTGTTTCAAGTCAGTTTCACGCAGGAGACCATGTCACTGTCTCATTACCCCGGCTACATTAACCATGTTATTTCTGGCTGTTTCTCAAAGAGCTGCATGTGTTTGGAACCCACTCTTGTGCAGGTTCACCATGAACTTACGTTATTTCCTTTGTATATAACACGTAGCATCTGCACATCCACCGACAGTCCAATGTCATGGTACATATTAACTTCCAGGTGCATTTATCAAAAGGGATGTCTGTTTCAACATCTCCCCGTGTGATCCTGATGTGTCAGGTCATGACCAGCTTATCAAACGTGGTTTCTCAAAACAAAATTTATTGGCAAACAATGCAAACATTTCCAAGGAAAGATATCAATTTATACAAATCATTTCAACTTTCCAGACTTTAAACTAGAATACAGGTGGATACTAGATTGGAAGGTTCTCCTGAACTGGACCTAAAATGAATTATTCCAGTTCATTTCTCATCCTGAACAATATATTCATTACTTTTTTGTTGAATTTGAGGGTCCTTGATGGATATAAACCTGCAGGGTTAGTGGGATAGGACAAGGACTGACATGTTCTAAACAGAGCCAGCATGACCTCAGAGGGCCGAGTGGCCTCCCTCTCTGTTCTGCCACAGTGAGTCTATGATCCAAAGAGAACAGGATCAGCTGCTCTAGTCTCTCCAACCAACTAAAGTCCCGAATCCCTGATGACATACCCCTAATTCCTGTCACAGATATCTCATGGAACTTAACAACATTCTGTAAAGGTCTAGTCCACATTTGGGCTCCTTTTTAATAGGAGCTGAAAAGGAGGAAAATGAAATTTCACTTATTTCAAAGCAAAGTTTGACTCCACTGTGAGCACTGTCAACATTTGTCATCTCCATTTACAGAAAGGAAACAAAGACACTGGAAAAAAAAGTGTTACATGGATACACAAAGATATTATCAGTACAGAGAACATGTAACCCTCAGGAATGGTTGAGGAGCTCTTCTCTAGAAAAGAGAAGCCTGAAGGGTGACATGGTGGAAGTCTTCAAAATGATGAGAAGGGCTTCAATAATCCAAAAGGGATTTCATGAGAAACCTCTAGCCAGTGAGAGGCGAGAGTGAGAAGTTAATTCCCACAGCGAGTGGTTGAGGTAAACAACAGGAATATATTTAAAGGAGAAGCTAAATATATACATGAGAAAGCAAGGAATAGCAGGATCTACTGATGGGGGAGATGAAGAGGGAACAGTGGAGACTCACGTGGAGCATAAATACTGTCGGAGACCAATTGAAGCAACTGGCCTGGCACTGGTCTACAGAGTCGATGGAACAAAGACAAACATATTTACTTTTGATCTAAGTGGTAAGGAAAATATTACTTACGATTCAGGATAAAGTAAATGTACTTCAACAGATTTCAGGGGTAGTTTCAGTGTAAACATACAGTCCCAGGATCAAAGAGCATCAGCCTCACTGGAAGCAAAGTGGTGAGAGCGGCCAGTCCAACAGATGGAAACCTTTTGACCCTCCCACTTCACCCACTGTCCAAATGAATACAGCTCTGTCCTGGATGTGATTTTCCCTCATTTTTAAAATCAATTCACGATGTATAGTATCAATGTCTAGGTCAGCACTTATTGCCCATCCCAGTCGTCCTCCTTGAGAAAGTGATGGTGAGTTGCATTCTGGGACTTGCGATGTAGGATCACCCAGAATGCTGTTAGGGAGGAGTTCCAGAATTTTGACCCATTGACAGTGTAGGAACAGCCAATATGGAGGATTATGATATTCAAATCACAGTGATTTCAGTGACTCCATTAGATCTTCACGTGATGGTCATTTTGAGATTTCTGTCTTCAAATCTTCCCTTTCTAACATACTGTTAATTTGAATGGTCTGTGATATGGAGGGGAGCTTGCAGATGGTAATGGTCCAATGTAACTGCTGCACTTGTTCTTCTAGATGGTAGAAGTTGTGGGTTTGAACGTGCTGTCTAGCAGCTCAAATATTGCAGATTATCTGCAGATCCAAGTCCTATGATCATTTGTGAACTTTCTTATGCTTCCACAGACTGGATGACTGAGTGAATCCTTTCCCACATTCAGAACAGATGAACGGCTTCTCCCCAGTATGAACAAGGTGGTGTTTCTGTAGTGCAGATGAATCTCTGAACCGCTTCCCACACTTGGAGCATTTGAATGGCCTCTCTCCTGTGTGGATTCGCTGATGTCTCACCAAAGTTGATGACTGAGTGAATTCTTTTCCACAATCAGAGCATGTAAATGGCTTCTCCCCAGTGTGAATTCGCTGGTGCGCACGTAGATTGGATAACTGAGTGAATACTTTCCCACACTCCAAGCACGTGGATGGCCTCTTCCCTGTGTGAACTTGCTGGTGTCTCAAAAGGGTGAAATATTCATGGAATTTCTTTCCACACTCTGAGCAGGTGAATGGCCTCTCTCCAGTAGCAGCATGCTGGTGTTTCCGCAGAGCAGATGGATCAGGGAATGTGTCTCCACACTCAGAACAGGTCAACGGCCTCTCCCTGCTGTGACCACGTCGATGAAACTCCAACATTGACAGAGAATGGAATCCTTTCCCACAGTCCTCACATTTCCATGGTTTCTCCATGTCATGCGTGGCTTTGTGTCTCTAAGTTTCACAATCAGCTGAATCCTTGTCCACCCAAAAACACAGGTATGGTCTCTTCCTACTATGAACAGTGCAATGTTTCTTTAGGCTGGGAGATTGGTTGAAGGTATATCAGTTCACTAGAAAACTCTCACCTGGGTGTGTATGTCTCAGTACTTTTCCAGACAAACTGATGTTGCAAATATTTTGGAGCAGACAGATATTCTGAATCTATGGTTTCAAGCCAATGATATTCAAGTGCCTGCTATTTTAGTGACTTCACGTGATGGTCGTTTTGAGATTGCTGTGTAAATCTTCCCTTTTTAACATAATGTAAGAGTTATAAAATTCATGACTATTAGATTGGAAATCCGGCGAGAAATTCAGAATAGCCAAATCTAAGAGATCAGCACTTCTTGTCCTGGACTCCCCTTCCTTTCAGTCGCTGCAAGTAAATAATTTCACACCATAATTTTAAACAAAGAAAGTAGGAAAAATTGTTTGCTCACAGACGATGAACAAAGGAGGAAGTTTCAGTCTGGGTGAAGCTCAATCTTCATTCAGACAAAGAAGCGGCAGCAGTTTTGCTGGACCGTCCTGCGTTCGCGCTCAAATAGGGGAGCGCTGATTGCCTGGAAGTCAAGCATGCTTCAGTCCTCCAGCTCTTCCTACTGGTCATGTGGGGCAGCAGCTGCGTTGACTGCATGACGTTTGAAGCCTTCTGCCAATAGCAAGAGAGTGTTGTGATCACCAACCAGTCACATAACGAAAGGTGTTCCCGTCCCTGAACACGTGAAAATCCTGGCATCCCACCCACGTGAAACTTGCCACATGACCTGCGGGGACATGGATTGTGGGAGTTGTAGTCCCCATGAAGTCACTGAAGGCCTATGTCTGGAAAGTGAATGAAAAGTGCGGGGTGGGGGAGATGGGAACAGGATCCCCATTCAGACACACAGGATATGTGGGCTGTCATTGGTGTTTACTGAGACACTGCTTAGCCAAAATGTTTTCTGGTACCAGACATAAAGACTTGGAGTAGGAGCACATTACTAAAGATGCTGGAATCTGCACTGAAAACAAAAAATGCTGGAGATTACAATTTTTTTCTGAAGAAGGGTCTAGGCCCAAAACGTCAACTTTCCTGCTCCTCTGATGCTGCTTGACCTGCTGTGTTCATCCAGCTCTACACCTTGTTATCTCAGATTCTCCAGCATCTGCAGTTCCTACTATCTCGGAGATTACAGCAGGTCAGTCAGCATCCACAGAGAGAAAGCAAGCTAATATATTGAGTCTAGATGACTCTTCAACAGAGTTGGTGATGTGTGGAGGGTGCAGCATTTATGCAATCGTGGAGGGGTGGCTAGGCTGCGATTCGAGGGGTTGGAGTGCTGGGGGAGAAAGGATGTTGACAGTTCAGATCAAGTCCCGGAGGGAACGATCTCTTCTGGACTTAATATTGAGGTCAACACCTTCAAATTCTTTTTGAAGAAACCCATTCCTTTCCTTTCTTTTAGCTTTGCTTGTTACATTCTCTGTCACCCTCTCTTACATCCACCCCAGTGGGATTGTTTATTCTTTCCAGTCTGGCAGTTAGACACACAATTATTCTACCATTCTCACACTCGGATCACTTAATCTGAACTCTCACAATTTTCAAATAATCATTTTCCACAGACAGTGCCTTTCTCCCTCTACAATCAAAGGCTTGTGATTTTTCAGGCCCATTATTTCAAGTTTATATATTATCTCCATCGAATAATTGTGCAAACAAATGACAGTATGAGGATCACAAGCAGCAAGGCACAGAAATAAATTGTCATTTGTTCGAGTTTTTTTTTGTGGAACATTCTTTCCTCCTATTTCCCCAAATATGAGAACAAAATGAAACTAATAGAAGCCAAAATAGTTCCTCAGAAAGCTCCGTCTCCAAGGTTACCCATGTACAGACATGGCCAGGGAAGAGAGGCTGACAGACCGTGATCACATCCACCTGGGCCCACGCGTTCTGATCTACAAGTTGCTGTTTGTACCAGGACCAAGAATGGATCCAGGTGACAATCCTCTGACGTACTCAGCTTCCTTCCTCCACAATTTATACCCCTCTGGATTGAACATCAAGTTCAACAATTTCAGCAATTAAACACTGTCCCCATTTTGTTTCATTTCCTTTCCTTGTTTCATTTGTTTCTTTCAGTCAGCAGCACATCTGCTCCTGGCAAATCTTTTCTTGATTCATTTATTTTCTAAGGAACTAATGTTCCAATCTATCATCGATGTTCCTTTTGTCATGGTCCCACGCACACCTTGCTCAAGGCCTATTCAACGCCTAATATTCCCCAGATCTGATAAATTCACGCTGTTTTTCTCTCTCTCTCTCTCTGTGCACTTGCTGCCTGGTGTACTGAGTGTTTTCTCTCTCTCTCTCTGTGCACTTGCTGCCTGGTGTACTGAGTGTTTTCCAGCATTTTCTGTTTTTGAGTGTTTAAATTTGGGCACAAGTAACTCAATGCCGAAGTTTGCAGCTGATAACAAGTTGTGCATCGAAAGTGAGGAAGAATGACATGACAAAAGACAACATTACAAAACTCACAGTCAGGGCAGTTAAATTACAAATGATTCAAACAGTGATAGTAGGTCAGGATATACTTTGGTGGGAGGAGTACAAACATTACCCAGTTCTTGCAGCATAAACAAATATCAACTATGTTATGACAATCTAACATCATAGAATCCTACCCTATAAACTGTCTACTCCAATCAGGATGCTAAATTTATATTCTTTTTTATCCATTCACGGGATATGGGGAATGTTCTTGCCCATCCTAATTGCCTAGAAAGATAGTTAAGAGTCAGCGACATTGCTGTGGGTCTGAAGTCACATGTCGCCCAGACCAGGTAAGGACAGCAGATTTCCTTTCATGAACCTGATGTGTTTTACATAATTTCAATTCTTGCAATTTCAAATTTCAACACCTGCAGAGGTGGGAATTGAATTCATGTTCCCAGAACACTAACCTGGGGTTTCTGATTATTAGTTAAAAACTAATCTAGAACATTCTTTCAAAAATCAATTGTTAGAATTTGCTAACATAAAATGGCTACAAACAATGTATTTTAAAGGCATACAGATATACAGCACAGAAACAGGCCCTTCAGTCCAATTCGTCCATGCCGACCAAATATCCTAAATAAATCTAGTCCCATTTGCCAGCATTTGGCCAACATACCATTAAACCATTCCTATTCATATACCCATTCAGATGCCTTTTAAATGTTGTAATTGTACAAGCCTCTACCACATCCTCTGGCAGCACATTCCATACATGTGTCACCCTCTGTGAAAACGTTGCACCGTAGTTCCCTTTTAAATCTTTCCCCTCTCATATTAAACCTATGCCCTCTAGTTTTGGACTCCCCCACCCCAGGGAAAAAACTTTGTCTGTTTACCCTATCCATGCCCCTCATGATTTTATAAACCTGTATAAGGTCACCACTCAGTCTCCAACACTCCAGAGAAAATAGCCCCAGCCTGTTCAGAGTCTCGCTATAGCTAAACCCTCCAACAACCTTGTAAACCTTTTCTGAACCCTTTCAAATTTCACAACATCCATCCTATAGCAGGGAGACCAGAATTGCACGCAGTATTCCAAAAGTGTCCTAACCAATGTCCTGTACAGCTGCAACATGACCTCCCAACTCCTATACTCAATGCACTGACCAATAAAGGCAAGTATACCAAACGCCGCCTTCACTATCCTATCTACCTGCGACTCCACTTTGAAGGAACTATGAACCTGCACAACAAGGTCTCTTTGTTCAGCAACACTCCCCAGTACCTTACCATTAAGTGTATAAGTCCTACCCTGATTTACCGTAACAAAATTAGCACCTCTCCATTTGTCTAAATTAAACTCCATCTGCCACTCCTCAGTCCATCTGATCAAGATCCCATTCTAGTCTGAGATAACCTTCTTCACTGTCCACTACACCACATCTGCAGTCTTACTAACCATACGTCTTATGTTCATTTCAAATCAATCATATAAATTTTGAAAAGCAGTGGATCCAACACTGATCTTTGTGGCACATAACTGGTCTCCATTCTGAAAAGCAACCCTCCTCCACCACCCTCTGTCTCCTACCTTTGAGCCAGTTATGTATCCAAATGGTTACTTCTCCCTCTGTTCCGTGTGATCTAACCCTGCCAGTCAGCCTACCATGTGGAATTTTGTCAAACGCTTTACTGAAGTTTTTATAGACCACGTCCACTGCTCTGCCTTCATCAATCCTCTTCATCACGTCATCCAGACCCTTGGAGACATGATATTTAAGTTTCTTCATCTAATTTATTCATATATATTGTGAATTGGGGCAGTGATTACCTTGTGGTATTTTTGCTGGACTGTTAATCCAGAGACCCAGATAATGTTTCCCGCCATGGAAGATGGTGGAATTTGAGTTCAATTAAAAAAAAAATCTGGGATTAAGAGTCCAATGATGACCATGCATCTATTATTGATTGTTGGAAAAATCCCATGTGGGTTCACTAATGTCCTTTAGGGAAGGAAACTGCCATCCCTTATTCGGTCTGACCTACACATTAACTCATAACTGAATGAATGAAGAATAGCTAGGGTCCAAGCACTGATCCCTGCAGTACCCTACTAGCTGCCACCAAAAAAAAAGTGACCTGTTTATTCTGACTCTTGGTTTCCTGTCTCCTGGCCAGATATGTATCCGCATCAGTACACTTCCCCCAATCCCATGTGCTTTAACGTTACATGCTAATCTCTTCTGTGGGACCTTTGGATGCCTTCTGAAAGCACAGGTAAACCACATCCACTACCTCATATCAACTCTAAACGTTGCATTCTTGAAACATTCCAGCAAAATTGCCCAGCATGATTTCCCTTTTGTAAATCCATGCTGACTGACCCTGTCCAATCCTATCACTGTTTTCCAGTGTGAGGCTAACCTGTCTATAACTCCATGTTTTCTCTCTACCTCCTTTTCTCAAATAGTGGGGTTACCTTATCTACCCTGCAATCCATAAGAATTGTTCTAGAGTCTATAGAATCTTGAAAAATGACGATCAATTTCCTCTATTTAAATTCAAGCTCTATATCTTGGGCCACATTGTTAAGTACTCTGGAGTGTAGATTATCATATGCTGGGATTTGTTGGCTTTTAATCCCATCAATTTCCCCAACACCATTTCCCCACTAAGACTGATTTCCTTCAGTTACTTCTTTTCATGTTCCCCAGCATTTTAGGGATATTATTTGTGTCATTCTTTGTGATGACAGAACGAAAATATGTAGTTAATTGGTCTGTTGTCTCTTTTTGTTCTGTTTACTGTTTCTGACAGTAAGGAATTTGTTTTCATTAATTTTGTTTTCTGTTCATATACCTTGAGGAGCTTTTACAATTAGTTTGTATGTTCCCCACAAGCCTACTCGTAGGTTGTATTTTTCCCCTCTCAATCTGAGCCTTTCTTCTCTTTTGTTGAATTCTTAACTGCTCCCAGACTGCCACTGTCCCAGAGGACCATAGGACTGCTCTCTCATTAGAGAGACACGACTAAGGGTGCTTTAACCTAAGGGTCACCATGCCTCAGGCAAGGGTCAAGGTTAAGGAGGTGGGATCTTCATGGTGACCTCAACCAATGCATGAATTCAGCATGTGCTGTTGGCGTCACACTGTATCACACAGCAGTCACCCACCCAATTGAGCTAACCCACCTCCAGCCGTTACACAATACAAAGTCTGGAATGGCCTGTCCTCCATTCGGGTCCTTAATGTATCGATCCAGAAAACCATCTCATACACA